TAGCTGGGACTACAGGCACACATCACCACGCCCAGCTAATTTTTGTATTTTTAGTAGAGTCAGCATTTCACCATGTTGGCCAGGATGGTCTCGATTTCTTGACCTCGTGATCCGCCTGCCTCAGCCTCCCAAAGTGCTGGGATTACAGCCGTGAGCCACCGTACCCAGCCTCTACTTTTTAAATACACTTACTTTCACTTTATTACTATATGTACTCTCCCCTAATTCTTTCTTGCGTGAGATACAGGAACCCTGTCTTGTGGTCTGGATTGGGATCTCTTTCCAGTAACACCTACTCCATAACAAAGGCCAAATATTTGTGGGGAACACTTTACAGTGCCTTGTCCAAAACCATGGGGGAGGATATTCTTACTCAAGCGGCCTCTGGTTTTACATTCTCACCTAAGGAGTGAATGAAGATACACAAGAAGACACTTATGGGCTGGGTGTGGTGGCTCATGCCTGTAATCCTAGCACTTTGGGAGGTTGAGGCGAGAGGATCACTTAAGCCCCGGAGTTTGAGATCAGCCTGGGCAACATAGCAAAAGCCTATCTCTACAAAAAATACAAAAAAATTAGCTGGGCATGGTGGCACACGCCTGTAGTCCCAGCTACTCTCCTTGACGGGCTGAGGTGAAAGGATCCTTTGGGTCTGGGAGGTTGAGGCTGCAGTGAGCTGTGATTGCACCACTGCACTCCAGTCTGGATGACAGAGTGAGATTCTATCTCAAAAAAGAAAAACACACCCTTGTGAAGATCAGAAGCCAGAGAAACCATTGAGATTTAAATGGGATATTACAGAATGCCCTCTTTCCCTCACACCTTTCCAACACAACAAGGCACCAGTAAAATAATATTAAACTAAAGCTGGAAGAGCTGCAACATAGAAAACTTTCTCTGAGAAGGAATACTTAAAAAAGCCCATAGTGAAAACGGGATACAAAAACAACTACACTGGAGGAAACTATAGCCTTTGAATCCTAGTGCTACAACAAACTTTAAACAAAGCCTAATTCCTAGCCATATTAACATAAGTAAGGTTATCCAAACTTCATAAGTAAGGTAATGCAAACGCTTCATGCCAAATCATTAAATAACAAAGATGGTGGTTACATATGTATATTGTAATACCTAGAGCAACCATTAAAAAAAAGTACAAGGTGAGCACAACAGGGTGACATAGTCAAAAATAATTTAATTACACATTTAAAAATCAGTAAAACAGTATAACTGGATTGTTTGTAACATAAAGGATTAATGCTTGATGTGATGAATATCCTGTTAACCCTGATGTGATTATTATGTATTACATGCCTATATCAAAATATCTCATGTAACCCACAAACAAAAACACTACTATGTACTCACAAAAATTTGAGGAAAAATGTGTTCAAAAAAAGATACAAAGTGATATGCTCAAAAGTATTGTAGAAGAGTGAAAATTCAATTTTAAAACATATTCAAGTAGACCAAACGAATACAAACAAACACAGGAATGAGAAACACAGGGAACAGAAAACAAATAATAAAATAGCAGACCATTTCAATATTTACTTCACATGTAAATTGACTAAATACACCAATTAAAGGCAGATATTGGCAGAGTTAATTAATTAATTTTTTGAGACAGGGTCTCCCTCTGTCTCTCAGACTGGAGTGCAGTGGCATGATCTCGGCTCACTGCAACCTCTGTTTCCTGGGCTTAAGTGATTCTCCCACCTCAGTCTCCTGAGTAGCTGGGACCACAGGCGTGCGCCACCATGACTTACTAATTTTTTGTATTTTTTGGTGGAGACAGGGTTTCGCCATGTTGCCCAGGCTGGCCTTGAACTCCTGAGCTCAAGTGATACGCACGCCTTGACCTCCCAAAGTGCTGAGATTATAGGCGTGAGCCATGGTGCCTGGCCTTTTTTTAGTTTTAAAATGGTAAATTCACAAACTATAATTGTATATATTTGGGGAATGCAAAGTGATATTATAGTACATGTATACAATGTGGAATGGCATATAATATGTGCCTCAGGATTACTCCTTGCCCAAACTGAGAACAAGGGGAATAGAACATTAGCCACTGAACAAGAAAGAGCGCTTGAGAAAGGGAAGGGTAATCCCACCATGGTAAGGAGAGTGCAGCTCCACAATGCCGGTGTGATTGTCTTCTTTTCCTACCTGGTGAGGGAGAAGATTCACTGTGCTGTCTGGAGGAGCTGGAGGATGATGGAAACAGTATGCTGGGACATCTTGGTAACTGGCTAAAGTGTCACGAGTTTGGTGCTATGTTAACATAGCCTATCCTTCAGATAGGAGTGCCCTTATTGAAAGTGTTTGATTGACCACAAAGCATTCATAAACTCAGTCATCTTCAGTATTTAATGTAAAAATGAAGTATCCTGGAATGAAATTCCCACTGCCTCCGGGCTGTCATGACAAGCTTAGCTGTCCATTTTTAAAAATCGTGTATTTATGCTCTCAGCTCCTCCTGTTCAACAGACACCTTGTCTCCCATCACCAGACACATCCCTGAGACACCATGTGGAAGGTGAAGGTCAGAGTCAACGGATTTGGTCATATTGGGCGCCTGGTCACCAAGGCTGCTTTTAACTCTGGTAAAGTGGATATTGTCACCATCAATGATCCCTTCGCTGACCTCAACTACATGGTCTACATGTTCCAGTATGATTCCATCCATGGCAAATTCCATGGCACTGTCAAGGCTGAGAACAGGAAGCTTGTCATCAATGGAAATCCCATCACCATCTTCCAGGAGCGAGATCCCTCCAAAATCAAGCGGGGCGATGCTGGCGCTGAGTACGTGGTGGAGTCCACTGGTGTCTTCACCACCATGGAGAAGGCTGGGGCTCACTTGCAGGGGGGAGCCAAAAGGGTCATCATCTCTGCCCCCTCTGCTGATGTCCCCATGTTCGTGATGGGCGTAAACCATGAGAAGTATGACAACAGCCTCAAGATCGTCAGCAATGCCTCCTGCACCACCAACTTCTTAGCGCCCCTGGCCAAGGTCATCCATGACAACTTTGGTATTGTGGAAGGACTCATGACCACCGTCCACGCCATCACTGCCACCCAGAAGACCGTGGATGGTCCCTCCGGGAAACTGTGATGTGATGGCCATGGGGCTCCCCAGTGAGCTCACTGGCATGGCCTTCCGTGTCCCCACTGCCAACGTGTCAGTGGTGGACCTGACCTGCCGTCTGGAAAAACCTGCCAAATATGATGACATCAAGAAGGTGGTGAAGCAGGCATCAGAGGGCCCCCTCAAGAGCATCCTGGGCTACACTGAGCACCACGTGGTGTCCTCTGACTTCAACAGCAACACCCATTCTTCCACCTTCAATGCTGGGGCTGGCATTGCCCTCAACGACCACTTTGTCAAGCTCATTTCCTGGTATGACAATGAATTTGGCTATAGCAACAGGGTGGTGGACCTCATGTCCCACATGGCCTCCAAGGAGTAAGACCCCTGGACTACCAGCCCCAGCAAGAGCATGAGAGGAAGAGAGGCCCTCACTGCTGGGGAGTCCCTGCCACACTGAGTCCCCCACCACACTGAATTGCCCCTCCTCACAGTTTCCATGCAGACCCCTTGAAGAGGGAGGGGCCTAGGGAGCCCCACCTTGTCGTGTACCATCAATAAAGTTCCCTGTGCTCAAAAAAAAAAAAACAAAATCGTGTATTTATTTTTGTGGCTACTTTGTTCTAGTTAGGCTTTCTTCCTTCAGCGTTCTGCACACCCATAGTACAAAAGGAAGGGCTGAACTGTTGGAGTAGAAGGACGTGGTTGCTGAAGAGTACATGGATGTTTTATTTATGTGTATTTTGAATGTAAAAATCTCACCTAAATGGATCAAAGATTTTTTTTCTCCTAAAAATAAGAATACATGGAAAAAAAAAAAAAAAGCAAACAACAACAAAATCCCTTGATCTTCTGTGGCGTACAAATCAAGAAGACTGGGGAAAGGTAATTCCCTCTGCCCAGGGCAAGTGTGGCTTCCCATCAAAAGCCAGTAGCCTGTGTCAGTCTTGATCAGTCAGCAAGATCTTTGCACTATTAACCACAGAGTAATCTGTATTACTATAGGGTTCACATGTGAATTCAAATATAGACATGTTAGTGCCTAAACATATTTGGGTTTATCGCTCAGATTTTATATATTTCAAATGTAAGTGTTGCTAATCAGTGCAGTTATTTTATTTTTTTTTTTTTGAGGCGGAGTTTCACTCATGTTACCGAGGCTGGAGTGCAATGGCGCGATCTCGGCTCACCGCAACCTCCGCCTCCTGGGTTCAGGCAATTCTCCTGCCTCAGCCTCCT